GGTGTGGGTGTGCGTGCCTGTGCGTTTGAAGGCAACAGCGTCTGCATGCCCGTGGTCCATGAATCTGAGAGTCTGCGTGCGTCCCTATGGACAGCGGAATGCAAATGTTATGAGGATTGTAGAAGTGGAAAAGGAGGCAACATGCACACGCACAACACACACACACACACACACACACACACACACACACACACACACACACACACACAGAGCGAATGCAAACAGTGTATAGTGAACTCTCACTCACACACGCACTTCGTTTTGTGAAGTTGTGAATAGCTAACGTACACACTCACTAAAACAGTTACTCTTTCCGCTTTGGACGGGGGACGAGACAAGAAAATTGCCTGCGAAGCCCATGTAATCCATCCCTTCACGTTGGTGAAGATACTCTTTGGCATATTATGCTCTCTCTCTCTCTCTCTCTCTCTCTCTCTCTCTCTCTCTCTCTCTCTCTCTCTCTCGCACACACACACACACAAACTATCTCTCTCCGTCCCTCCCTCACTCACTCGCTCACTCACTCACTCTTAGAAAATCATGTGTGAAAGGGATCAAATGCATCCTTCGGTCAATCTCCCCTTTGCTGCAATTGTACTCTCTCTCTCTCTCTCTCTCTCTCTCTCTCTCTCTCTCTCTCTCTCTGTGTGTGGCCGTACGCCACTCCGGCTAGCTGCTATCCACCTATGGGGCTTCCCATCTCTCTCTCTCTCTCTCTCTCTCTCTCTCCCCCTCCCCTCCCCCCCCCCCCCCCGCCCGCCGGACTATCACGCTTCCCTTCTCTCTCTCTCTCTCTCTCACACACGCACAAACACACAGCGAGGGGGAAAAGGGCCTTGGAAAAGTTGGCAAGTACGGGGACATTTTGCAAAATGGACAGGACCAGGTAGGGGTATTTTGCAAAGATGACAGGTCCAACCGACGCAAGGGCATTTTGCAAAGCATTTTTTGTGTCATAGGGGTATTCCGCTCTCAACTTATAGGGGTATTTCGCAAATTATCACCTTGTTTTTTTGCTTTTTTTTGTTATGTTTTTCCTTTTTATTCTTTTTGATTCTTGTTTTTTCTTTCTTTCTATTTTTTTTTTAATTTTTTTTTCGAATACAACAATACAACAACTCACATACCGCCAGGACGCGGGCTTTGCAAGGGCAGTCACCCTTGATGCAGCTTAAAAAGAAAAATTGAATTAAAATAAATGAAAATCAAAATCAAATTAAATTAAAAACAAAAAGTCTCTCTCTCTCTCTCTCTCTCTCTCTCAAACACACACACACACACAGACACACACACACACACACACACATACACACACACGCACACAGAAATCAGTCTTGACGTCACCATGATGACGTCATACCACACACCAGGAATAGAATATATATATAATATATATATTTTTCTATTTGACGATATATATTTTTCTATGTTCTTCTCTCAATGTCACCTCACACTACCTACCTACCACTACTCCTAATTGTAGGCATACGGGGAGCCCGGTAGCAGCCAGAACCGTCTTCACGAGAGAACATGCGGGGGCTGTTCCCGACCTGCAGGTGGGAGATACCGTCTAGGGGACAGCCGGTAGCATCAGGAACCATGCCAAGAGGACCAATCCCTGTGCCTCCCCTCAGGTGGTGCTCCCCTCCCCTAAGAACATCAGCAGACTCTGCTCAATGCCGATAGGGGCATCCAGTGGTCTATCTCACCCGGCAGGCAGTTAAACAGAGCCACAAGCGCAAACAAAAAAAGAGGGGGAGCATGTCCCAAAGTAGGGCCTTCTAAAAAACAATTAAAAACAAAAAAGTTAAAAAAAAAGGACAGTCTAGGATGTTCCTTTCCATTTTTTTTTTGAAATAAAAGCTGTTTTCTCCTCATCACGGCCTAGCTCAGTTGGTAAGGCACGCAAGTGGCATTCAGGAGGTCTTGGGTTCAATCCCCATTGACCTCATGTACCTTCCTGGGCAAGCTTGGCGCCCGCCACCTAGAGATA